AGGAACCACATTAACAGATCCTTGCAGGGCATTAGCAGAATTTGGGTTTTTAGCCTTTCATTTGGAAAAGATAACTCTGGTTGATCTGTGTAGAAAAGGCTACATGAAGGCAAAACATGATAGAAAGCACAATGGCTTAAAATCAATGTAGAAGGGAGAAATAATAAGAGGTGCCAGATTCCAGACATTTTTTTTCTATTTTTTTAAGATAAATATTTAGGGGGGGGGGGCAAAAAAGAGGAGTCACAAATGAAGCAAAGAAAGGCTGCAAACCGGAATAACAAAATGAACACGGATGCTATTCATGGAGATGGGGAAAACTGGAAAGAAACAGGCTGGTTTGGGTACCAGAAATCAGGAGCAAGATTGTTCCAAATGGGCTTATTCATTAGAGAAGTCTACTAAATACCAAGGAAGATTTAGTTTGGAGAAATTGGTTATGAGTCTAGAATACAGGGAATGGATCAAAACTAAAGACACACAGTCGGGATGCATTAGCATACGGATGATTTTTAGATTCATGAGACAGAAATTGCTCACGTAATGAATGAGAACAGGTTCAAAGACTGAGCCTGTGGCACTCGCCCTTATTAGTGAAAGAAAAGTAATTGAGAGTTCAAAGAAAAGTGAAGACAGCAAGTGGACTGAGAAAGAGTTAATGTAGGACAAGAAACAGAAAATGGCATCTTGGGAAACAAATGAAGATGGTATTTTCAGAAAAAAGTTCTCCATAAAAATTAGATTGGATTCCTCAAAAACAAGGAAAACAATAAGGATTTTTCAATTGGAAAAGTAACTAAAGGGATACAACAACTAATGGCAATAAATAAACCTTGGGGAGAATCCTAGTTCAAACATACAATAGCTATAAAAAAGCTCTTGACAAACTGGGTGCTTTTAATATGAACTATTTGTGCAGCTTAGGTCAGAGGATCACAAGTTGTAGGCTAGTCTGGGCAAGTTAGCAAGACCCTGTCTCAGAATAAAAATATTTTTAAAAATGGCTGGTGATGTAACTGAGTGGTAGAGTGCCCAAGGTTCAAACCTCAGTTACTGCGCACCCCCCATCCCCAGGAAAAAAAACAACAAAGAAAATTCTTGAGACAACTTTGGAAATGTAAAAATGGTGACATCAAACCACATAATTAAATTACTCTTTATCTTCTTAGGTGTATCAATAACATTTTGGTTACAGAGAAAAATCTCTCTATTCTTGGGCAATGTATCCTGAGGTATTTAGGAGATATAATGACATATGCAACTTATTGAAGGACAAATAACCTGAAAGAAAAATGGATAAATGACACACACAAGCATTTCAGATAAGGAAATTACAAAGGCCGAGGACTAAGTGAGAAGATACTGAGCCATTATTCATAATCAGGAAAATACAAATTAAAACTACAAAGAGTATTTCACATCTAGGAGTAGTTAGAAAGAAAGAATGAAAATATCAAGTGTTACTAAAGATGAGGAGTAATGTGGTATATTCTGCAGGCAGAATATCAAGTGTTTATAGCAGCATAGTTTTGAGAACTTCTGAGCACAGAAATTAGGTTTTGAATAATGCTAAGACTTGAAATTATATTTCTTTTATTGAAGAGATGTTTTGCTTCAACTGTGAATCGATTACCTCTGATAAAAGTACATTGTCAAATATGAAAAGAAAAAAAAAAAAAGTCAGTAGCTTCCTACGATGTACCAGTAATTCCTGCCCTATGGATACACCTTGGGAAAACTATTCCACATGAACACTGGGGAAAGAGTACAAAAATATTGAAAGCAACATTATTTGTAATGACAAAAAATAAATAAATAATTAAAAGGAAACAATATAAATGCCAAATATATGGGTATTCATTTCATCATCATTATTAATTTTCTTTAAAATATACTTTATATGTTTATTATACATCACAAAAATTAAACAAACATGATCAATTGCAGCAAATGCTATTGACAGATCAGATGAGATGAGGAACAGAAAATGACATCAGGAGCCATCAGTGAGGTAGCACAGTAAATAGAATCAATTAAACCATCTATAAACTGAACTCTTCTAGAATGAAAGACAATTTTCTCTATTATTTTAGAAAAATCATAGAGCCAAGTATGGTGGCGCATGCCTGTAATCCCAACAGCTGAGAAAGCTGAGACAGGAGGATAGCAAGTTCAAAGTTAGCCTCAGCAACTAAGCAAGACCCTACACAACTTAGGGAGACCCCATCTCCAATAAATAAATAAATAAATAGATGAATAGCTAGCTAGCTAGATAGATAGATAGGACTGGGGATGTGGCTTAGTGGTTAGTGCCCCTGGGTTCAATCTCTAGTACCCCCCGCCAATAAAGAAAGAAAAATGATATTAAAAAGCAAATCTACTTACTTGAAACAGTTAAAAATTAAGCTTTTGTGCATAGCTAGCTCTACACATATCTTCTCAGGAAAAAGGATTTTTCTAACAGAAGATTATTTCCCTTATTTTCAAAAACTCTATTTAAATGATATGATATTTAAATGCATATCATCATGTGAAGAGCCACATATGAGATGTAATGTGCAAATCAGGATACTTCTGAGAATGAAAGGAGGGGCTACTGGTAATTTTGTCTGCCCAGTGGCATAAAGTGGGGTTCTGCCAAGAAAACTGGTCTATTATGGCTTTTTCATAAATAATACAAAATTCAGTTTAGTGTGCTAGTAAGTTTTCAGAAAGAATAGAATCCTCAGGAAGAAAGGGGTCCTTTGTCAAAGTTCAGTCAAACTTCATCCATATTCTATTCTAGCATGAAAAGTATAGTTGTTATGATCAGGCTAAAGTGATACTTACTCAGTTGATGGTATACAGGTTTATGTAATCCTTGAAGTTTTACTGATGCTATGGCAGCAAGTTTACCAGGGGGCTGCATTTTCCCATCTAAGAGATACCATATTCGAGCAAAAGTGGCCCATTGCTTGAAAACACAGAAAAGAAAAAAATTAAAAATTAAATGAATTAAAATGGAAATAACTATTTTTTACTATATACGATTATATATGTATTCTATAGTTAATGTCAACAATTACTTTGAAAGAACTATCATTAAAAAATTTTTGTTTTGTTTTCATTTCTACTTCTGAAAAAGGAAAGCCTTTCTATTATTCACATTATTTAGGTCAGTAGGTATATTATATTGAAAGCTGAGTGGCCAATTGGAAACTAAAGACAATTCAGGAATTCAATTCCAGGGTAAAGTTATATAAAACAATGTAGTTGGGAAAGGACAGCTAAGTTGAATGAATTTAAATTTTAAAGAATTGTCTTAAGCAGGGCATGGTGGCACATCCCCATAATTCCAGCAGCTTAGGAGGCTGAGGCAGGAGGGTCTCCAGTTCAAAGCCAGCCTTGGCAAAATCAAGGCACTAAGAAACTCAGTGAGAACCTCTCTCTAAATAAAATACAAATAGTGCTCTCCACAGACCTGCATGTCTGGGGATGTGACTCAGTGGTCCAGTGCCCCTGAGTTTAATCCCGGGTACCAACCCCTCCCAAAAAATTGTTTTATACATCTTTAGGTTGTTTCAGACATGTAGACCATTCTTTTTGTAGTATTCATCAGTGTCTTTAAACTCGAAGAAAATTCCATCCAGAAAGACCTCGACCAGATGATTTCATTATGCATATACACCAGAGATTAAACAATTCTGGGGGAAAAAATGTAACTAGGCTAGTGGTTTTGTTTTAAATTATCACAAACTTCAAACTAGCCTATACCATAAGCAAAAGACCAATTTCCCCCCACCCATTGCAGATGAATAGTTTTATAGAAAAAAAAAAACTTTGATAAAAACGTACAAATGCTGCCACAATGCAAAACTGTTATTAAAGTTTTAAAAAGAGTTACACTTCACTTCCTGTATTTTTCTCACCACTGACAAGTAACAAACAGTCCCAGGAAAGAAGCAGCACTGGGCTAAAAGTCATCCAGGACTAACATATTCAAAAGTAACTCCTAACCTACCCTTCCACCTGAAACCTGCGTCAACTTCAGCCTTCCCTGTTTCAGTTGATGGCACACCATCCTTCCAGGTGTCCAAAACACAAAAACAAAAACATGAAGACATCCTTCTTACTTTGCTGTCGACCCACATTCAATGCTTCAAGAAACCCTCTGGGTTCCATCCTCAAACAAAACCTGATCACTTTTTAGCACCAAATTCCTGGCCTGGATTGTGCACCCTCTTGTGTAGTGTGGTTTATTGCAAAAGCCTTGAAGAGGATTCTCAGCTTCTGCCTTGCACAGACCCGCATCTCTGTACAGATAGGGTGCTTCTCAGGACCCTGTCAGTTCACGTCTGACCCTTTGGATCAACTCTCCAACAGGTCCCCACTTACCATCTATCTGACAGTCCCTCGGAGGAAGGGAGAAAAACATGAAAAATACTGACTGACAAAGGAGGGGACGAGTACCAAGACAGCAAGTGATGGTCGTCCTCACCACCCTCAGTGTGTATTTTCCCAAGAGTGGCTGCGGGTCTCGGTTTCCCTACCAATTCACTCTCACTACTAATCCGCCGCTCTCCTTCTGCCAGCGTAATGAACACCAACCATCAAGGCACAACAGTCGGAACTCACCTGGGTTGCCCTAGAGAAACTCGACATCTTTCCCCACTGGCCGAAGCGTCCTTTTTTAACCCCAAGCTGAGCCGGGTCATCAGCAGTACTTGCCCGACGGGAAACGCATGTAACAAAGCACTTAAGTTCCTAGCTTGTCCAGCACTCTTCTGCTTCTTCTCACTTATGGATGCCCTCCAGTCTTCCCACAGTAACGATTTAGTCAAGGAAGAAAGAAAGAAGGCAGTTATTGATAGAATAATTCCCGAAAATAATTCCCAGTAACCTACGGAAACAGACGGAGGACACAATTTCCAAACGAGCTGAGCGGAAAAAGAAAACCGGAAGTGCGTCAAGCGCGCGGCTGTTTTGAGACTTAAACCTGGGGGTGAGTTCTGAAGGAAGGGATGGATCGGTATCTGCTGCTGGTGGTCTGGGGGGAAGGAAAGTTCCCGTCGGCGGTCAGCGGGGAGACTGAGCGTGCACCAGAAGCGTCGTCGTTTGAGGGTACCGAGAAGCAGCCGGGTAAGCGCGGGGCTGAGAAACGGCGGGAATGGCTTGCGGGAGGAGATGTTTGCGTTTGTGATCTAGGGAGGGACAGAGGTCACCATAGGTCCCAGGAAGCTGCAAATCTGGGTGGGATAGATCTAATGAGGGCTGGGCAGTGTCCTCTTCATGGGAACAGAAGTACAAATTTGTGGATGCAAGATCCCAGGGCTCAAAAGTTCCTGGCACAGTAAGAATTTAACTGATCAAATCATTTGTACCTTAATGGAATTTCTGGTCTTCGAAAACGTATACAATAAAGTAAATTTTTATGCCTTCCGTGTCCCACATACAGGCAATACAGTAAGGAACAAAATACAAGGTCTTACTGACCTTGAGCTTCCATTCTAATGGGAGGACGCTTATAACATCAACTAAGTTTAAAGAAGAAATGATAAATTTTAGGCGATTTTAACTGCTTGCCCTTGCGCTGCTTTTTGGTGCTTCTGTCTAGACTATTGTGTTTTACTTGTTTGTTTTGGTCAGGCAGTCATTTTGAGGGGGAAATGTACAAAGTGGGGTATAAAGTGTTGTGACAGATTTCCTGTTCTTTGCGGGAAATTTTTGATTTGTGCTAACTACTGGCATGCACAAATAGGGGCCTTTTTAGTTTGCTTGCTCTTGCTTTATATCAAAACATGAACAGATCTTGATCAACATGTAGTTATTTTGTGTACAATACATTGATTTTGAGAGTCACTGATAGTGAAATTAGAATAGGCCTATGTTATGTAACTTGAGCCATGGAGTTAGACTGTCTTTACTTTTTCAGACTTCACAGCAGCAAATGTTTATCACCTCCTGAAAAGAACCATTAGTACTTCAGTTAATCCAGATGATAGTACTTTCCCTGGTAAGTACAACATAAACCTCTCTTTTCTCTGGCACAACAGTTGTATTGCAATCAATTAATTTGCTCATTTAGGAGAACAATAAATTCTTTGTTGACTTGGAACAGGGACTGAGATACCAAGGTAACTTAAAGGAATATAAAACTGGAAAAGGCATCACTTTCTGATATTTCAGTATCATAAAATGGTTATGAAAATTAATATAGGTTTCTAGACCCCATGCTAGTAACCACTATCCTTTATTGCCTGATTGACCTCTGATCTTGTTTCCCATAAAACACATCTGACTAGCTTTGGCAGAAATTGAATCAGAGGATGCTAAGTTAGAGACTAAGGAGCTCCATGAATTTGTTTTGAAGAGCCTAAAAAAGAGGGGAAAAACCCCTCAACTTTTATTGTACAAAATATTTCTTAAAGAAGTGTATTTTATGCTAGGTAATACTCTAGATATGAAATCCCAAATAACCACATGTGATAAAAATAAACTGACGACTGCTGAGTGTGGTGATATACATCTGTATTCCAGTGACTCAGGAGGATGAGAGAGGAGGATCTCAAGTTTGAGACTAGGCTGAACCACTGAGGGAGACTGTCAGCAACTTAGCAAGACCCCAAGAAGACTAGGGATATAACTCAGTGGTAAAATGTCTCTGAGTTCAATCATTAGTACCCAAAGAGGAGGAAAACAAAAAACAACAACAACAAAAAACCCTGAAGACTAAAATAGCCCCAAAGCCTTTTTTATCCCATTATCAAGGTAAATTATCTGTAAAGATTTGAAAGTATAGACCTAAATTGGAAAGAAGAGACTTAAACAGATCAATAGGCATTTCCACGGAAACATTTGATTACTCTGAATGAATTAAAGCCTTCTGTCACAAATACCTCAGAGTTCCAAAGAATTTTGAGATGAGATCATTGGGTCACTATCAGTAACCTTTAAGGAATCACAGACATTTTCAAGACTGGGAAGAAAGTAAGAGCTTGAGAGATTTCTAGTAAATTTAGAATGGAATCCTTCATTCTCTTTCTTTCCAACTTGAGTGCTGTAGAATCACTCCCACAAAGAATGGTGATGAGAAGAATTCTGCCATCAAACAGGAATATAGAGACTAGGAGCTCCATGAATTTGTTTTGAATGCATCATCAATATTCATGAATGCATCCATGAAATAGTCTTCAAGAAGTGTGCATTTTAGATACAGATACAGAAATTTGATATGAAGGCCAGCAGTATTACAGATCGTGTATCAACACCAGGTTCAACAAAGATGTCTGGGCCCAAGAAATAAGGAATGTCTCATATATGTTAGTGTCTTGTCCAGAAAACATTATGAGAATTAAGATTTGCCAAACAAGAAATATAATTTGGTTAACTGTGTGCCTAATGCCACTTTTAAAAAATCTATCAATGGGTATGAAGACTAAGCACTGATTGTCAAATAAAATTATAAAACTGGGAAAAAAGAAGAAGAAAAGAAAATTATTCTTGGATCTCAGCTATAGTTTTGTTCCTTTATGAAATTTTCTTGCCGGTCTTTACTTATATATAACACAGGGTAATGTGACATATGAGGAGGATTTTTTTCCTGAATAAAAATACATTATTAATGCCTCCACATCAGCTTCTTTAGTATTTATTTGCTTTTTAAAAATTATAATTTTTTAATAATTTTAATTATAAAATTAAAATATATTATTAATTTTATTAATAATTATTAATATATATTATTTGAACAAATTATGCCACTTTTTCTGTCCTTAACTCCTACTGATTCTCTTAAAAGTCCTTCATAATTGTTAAACATGGTGGACTTTCTTGGTTCTCATCTGCTTTAACTTTTTGAGGTATTACATATTTTTTTGTAAAAATCTTACTACCTTTGGCTTCTATTGACATTTTACAAATGCATGTACTTACTTTGAAGCTTATCTTTACTTTTGCTTCCTCCTCTTGGCCTCTGTCTGAGAATGTCCTTTGAAGACTCAGAAAGTAGAAGTGTCAGAACAGACTAAGTGCCAAAAGCTGAAGGAAATTTCTGTAGATGCCAGGGAGAGTGAGCCCAGTATGGTAACTTTCTTTATATTTCTCATGACTGTATAGTTTACTTCTTCCTCTTTTCTTACATTAGAGAAATTCCTCTCTCTCAGTGTTAACTATCATCATTAGAAAATGATTTCTAACATGCGTGCTACCCTAGCTTGTTTTCCAAGTCCAATAATACGCTCGTTAATTTTTCAAATTGCTATAATTTCAGTCAGTACCACTTATTCAGGAAAGATTTTCTTATATTTGTGCTTCAAATATATCTGTAAAAGAACTCTTGAGAGCATTCTAGAAATTCTTGTATGGCTAGAAGTCTCTTATGCAGACCTTCTTCTTTTGTGTGGTTTTGTGGGTGAGAAATAACAAGCTGAGCCATGCAAAGCCATCCTAATGTAGTAATTAATGGGAAAAATGACAGTTATTCCATAATCTTTAAAATTTTCTGTTAAAACTCTCCTAATGTTATGTATGTTTAGGAAAATAAAAAATCATAAAAATACTTACTTTGCACACTGTAATTTAAAATATTAGAAACATTGAGGATTCTTGTATTTTATTTCTTTGTAAAAATTTTATCAAGAGTAGTTGGACCATGCTTGCTGTCTTCCTGTCATCTGGCTTAGATGACAGTGTGATGGTGCCACTTAGTGAGACAAGCAGATTTGGGAGGGAATATGACACACTATTTGGAACGTGTAAAAAGTTAGCTAGCAAAATGTCAAAGTAACTGTTTTGTAAAAGTTGAATACATGGGTCTGAAACTTGATGCAGGGTATGGCTGGAGATATAGATTATAGAATCATTAATACATAGATGTCAATGGAAGCTATCAGAAAGATGAGGTATCCTTATGGATAATGGGAAGGACAGAAAATGTAAAATTGAATCCCAGAATTTAAAAGTGCTGAACACCAGTATTTAAAAGACTGAAAAGAGCAGCCAAAAAAATAGGTGTCACAGAAGCTAAGTGTTGTAATGGTAAATTAGTGGAAAGGGTCATCTTTGATTTGAAATGCTATTTGAAGGGGATTGGGAATGTTGATGAGGAAATGGAGAAGGTCAGGTGTAGACAGCCCTTTCAGAAAATTCATGAAGAAGCAAAAAAAGAGAGACATGGTAGTCAATGGGAAGGGGAGCTGAACTTAAAAGGATTCTATTTAAAAAATAATAATTTGAGTAATACTTGTAATTACTCTAAAACACTAATGAGGGGAACATACTGAAATGAGTGGGACAGGGTCTCAAAGGAGTTTTGAGGGATGACCTTGAATTGGAAGGTCAGTGCTTCTTAACATGTTAACAAGAAGGAATGAGGCCAACTTAATGGGAGAGTAAGTAGAATCCCATGTTTCCTGAAAGAAGTCATCACACAATGACTTCTATCTGCTTAAGGAGGTAGGAGGTGAAGTCTTCTGCTGAGATTGTTGGACGAAAATGATTATAGACACTTGGCATCTTATCTGACTTCCATGAGAAGCAACTCCTTTGTCTCCAGCCAGGCTGAACCAAACTTCCATGGTCTTTGGAGAGTGAATTTTTTTCACTTAATAGCTTACATGGTTTCGAGTTACTCAGCAGTGATTAAGTATGTATATTTTCAGTTTTAATAATAAATATTAATTTGTTTGAAAGGGTTATTAAAAATAATAGTGGATTTTGAGTTATGACAAATTAATGCAAAGTGTTTGTTGTAACTTTGCCCTTTAAGTAGATTGTTCTGTTTGAATTTTTATCAGAGATTTTTAAAAAGATCCATGGATACACACACACACACATACATATATATATATAAATATATAACTTGGAAAACATTTCAAATATGTTTCAAAATTACATTATTCTCTTAAGCACATTTGCTATGACATTTGCTTATTTATGCCTACTTTTCTTCTGATAAGTGTGATTTTGTTTTCAAGCCTGTTCAGTGGGTGGTGTTCCTGGTTCCAAGAAGTGGTTCTTTGCAGTGCAGGCAATCTGTGGATTTTACCAGGTAATTCTTATTAGTCAGTGTCTTTGTTACCATAAAGAATTTCATGAATACATTATCTAATGTGATCTTTTATTAGTTTTGTAGTTCTGATTGGCAAGAGATACATTTTGATGCAGAAAAAGATAAGATTGAAGCTGTTCTTCAAACAAATATTGAAGAATGCTTGAGTGCTGTTGAGTGTTTTGAAGAAGAAGATAGTAATAGCAGGGAATCCTTATCCTTGGCTGAGTATGCTTTATATACTATCTCTAAGATATTTTATGGACGGTTATAAAGATGTAGACAGTTATTTTAAGCCAGGAGGGTGAAGATTGCATATTTTAGCAACTATACTAAGTAAATTTTAATTAACTGAAAATTTTAAATCTTCAGTGTGAAAGATATTGGGCAATTTAGATCTTTTATCTCAAAAAAAATTCTTCAAAATACAAAAGTTAATATCTGAAAATGTTTTGTTTTTTAACCTTACATAATTATGAGAGTTATAGAAAGTGATTAATTAACATATCACTTTCTTGAAGATAAGTTCTGCCTAATATTATATTTTAAGAGCTTGACTAGAAATGTCATTTAATGTTAATAGTTATCATTATAACCAAAGTATCATTTTCATTTTGTTCTTTGAGCCTGAAATACATGATTTTTAAAAATTTATTTGTAACTTCAACATTTAAAATACTTTTAAAGTCCACAAAATTTTTGAGAAGTATGTATGTGTTTTTTAATTGTGGTGGTTTTTTAATTATGGTTTTTAAAATTATGGTTCAGTATATAAGATTTTCCAGATTACAAGTTGTGATAATTTTTTCTTCATACAGTGTCCCATCTCTAATTCATAATTAGTGCTTTTTATTTATTCTTAATAATAGTTCATGACAGAAACATTTTTAGTGTTCATATATTGTAGTATGGCTATAAGTTGCACAAATTATAAAAATTACCTTTGTCTATCTCCAGATGATATTGTTTATATTGGTTAATGAGGGAAGACAGTGTAGAACCTTGGAAAGAGCATTAAGTCAAGAGTCAGTAAAGTGGTTGCTAGCTACTTGACCTTAGGGCAGGCACACTGGCCCTTATTTCCTCCTCCATTGATTGTTGAGGTCCTTTTAGATAATTTCTAAGGTGCATTCATTTGCCCTTAAAAGCTCTTATCAATCCATGTTTTCTCACAACTGTTAAGAGATGACAAGTGTCATAGTTAGTGTTTCTGGTAAATGACCTAATAACTATTTCCACAAGAGGGAGCCTGAAAACTTTAGTTTAACATAATATGCCTTAAGTTGTTGTTGGCTTCTTTTTTTTTTTTTTTTTTAACAATATCAGTTTATAATAAAGGATTTAAATACCTTCATACTATGTGATAAACTATTATCAGGGAAAAAAATCATCATATGGAGAAAACTGATAGGTGGTGATCACTTTAAAAATTCAGAAAAATATTTGTCCATTAGTTATCATCTATATTTAGTTTAAAAATGTAATTCAAAGGGCTGTTGTTCCCTTCATTATTGTTAATTTTATTTGTATTTTGGGGTGTGGGTCAGAACTTATACCTGCAGTTTGAATCCTAGTTTCTATACATACTAGTTAGGTACCTTTAGGAAAGTTACTTAAAGTGGCACTAAAACTAGTATTATAGTAGTGCCACATGAATCTGTTGTCAGGGTCAAATAAAGCATTTACCTTAACACTTAACAATGTCTGGCACAGAGATCATTATTACCTATTAAGATAATATAAAATAGATAGATAGGTATGAATATGTGGATTTTTTTTCCCTCTAACTTGTTCTTTCATTTTAGTCTATATGAAGAATGTGCTGAAAATTTGCATCAGTTATCAGACAAGCTTCCTGCACCTGGTAATATTTATTAACTGCTTTCAATACTTGGTATCTTACACTTTTTTTGTGATTGAGTAATATATTTAGTCTTTCTGCTAACGTCTTTCTCACTTTTAATCTTGAAAATCAAAATGAAAAAAATAATTTCTTAATTGAAGTTGATACAAAATGTACTCTACTATTTTAATACAGTATGTTACTGAGACATTGAAATTCTTTTTATTATTTTCATTTAGGTAAGCAAAAAATTAGAATTTAGAAAATTAAATACCCATTCTGTTTCCTTATTTAGTTTTTACTGAAGAACAATCTTGCCACTGTGCACCATTGTTTTTCAGAGTGTGTTCTATAGAACACTAACCCTATAAAAAAAACTCTTGGAAAAATAGCTTCTTTAACCTAGATATTTTGGATAACATTTTTTTATGGTGATACTATCAAATGGAATATTGTGCAGTAAAAGAATCTCTTTGCTCAGCATTTTTTGTAGAAGCTATTTTTTTCCTATAGTGGAAAACATATTTTGTGAAGTATTGTATTACATTATTTTTAAAAATGTTTTTAGTCCTGAACCAACCTTTCTTTCTGTTAGTCAAGTGGCTGTCATCTAAAATTTGGTAGAATTTGGCATCATATACTTTTGAAGGGCTTTCTTTTCTGAATGTGTCATTTTTGAAGGTCTTTTACTAGGCAGATATTTATTTGGTGTGTATTATATATCAAGCATTGTTCTAGGGGCTGAGTATATAATAAGGAGTAAAACATAGATAGTGACCATAAAGGATTTTTTTTAATGCACATTTTTAGGTGGGGCTTATATTATATACTGGTGCATAATATCAGGACTAATCTACTTTTATGAATTTTAAGAAGTCAGATCATATATCCAAGATTCAATGCAGAGGACTTAGTATATTGTTATATACAAATAATATAGACATGAACCTTAAAAACAAATATAAAATACATTTTTGGAAAGTGAATCTCATTTTAATATAGTTAGGATATTTGCTACTCAAATAATTCCTATGGTAAATATTTCTTTTAAAATAATAGTAAAACTATGAGTGATAATCTTAATCTATTAATTACACATCTATTTTTAAACAAATTCTTATTGACACCAAAAATCATAAAGCATTTTATAGCTAACTGACAGTCCGATCCTTATATTCAAGGAGATCGTATTTTAGTGCAGAAAGTCCCACATAGAAAATAACTGCATGTATTGATAAGTAAACATATTTTGTGGGTTTTTTTTTTGTGTGTGTGTGTGTGCTGGGGATTAAACCCAGAACCTTGCATACATGCTAAGCACCAATTTTTTAAATGAAATATGTCAGGTTTAAAATATGCATTGAAATATTACACAATTGCTGTTTGGGCAGTTAAAGAACTTTCATTATCACTCACTATTTGGCTTCTGTTTCATTTAGATTTTTCATGTCCTTCAGTAAATTTATAGTTTTATAAATTTAGACTGATATGAAGTTAGCCTTCTTAGAATCTAATGATGTTCTCAGTATAATTGGTTTTCCTGAGTGTTTTATTGTCCCTTAAAGAGAAATAATTTATTTAAGCATCACAATTTAAAACTAATTCATTTCCTTTTGGATAACAAAATTAAGTGTAGAAAAGTATAATGAGATTGCACAGGTTTTTTCCTCTGTTGAGTACAACAATAGCATTGATGATCTCCAGGAGGTGATGTATATAGTTTACCACTGCTACATAATTGACAAGTAATTATGATATAGTTCATTGTTTTCTAGCATATGCTAGCTATTTTGAGATAACTTAGCTTTAAATGTTGAACATTTAAAATTTTTGAACTCCTAAATATGTGTATTGTTTTGAAGAATTTTGGAAAGTAAAGTTAAAATATTCCTTTATCTTCTCAATAAACCTAGCATTCAACTGTTCAGGGTACTATTTTAAGACTTTCCAGATCTAACATATTTAAAAATTATGAAAATGTTTCTCTCTCTTTCTAGGTAGAGCACTGATAGACGTAATACTATTGCCCTCTGACAAAGATCCTCTTCAGCTGAAAGACTGTTTACCTGCTGTAGGAGCATTAAAACATTTGAGGGAATGGCATTCAGCAAAAATTACTGTAGTGGCACAACACTGTGAAATGTAAGCTTCTTTGGTCATAGTTATTATTGTTTATGTTATCCGAGCATACTAATCTCTGTTTAATATACTCCTCAGTTCAAAATTATTTTAATGTGACAAGGTAAAGTTTTATGTTAACTTTGAGTTATATCTAGAGAATAATCAAGATTTTTTTTCCATTATACCCAGGATGTTTAAGTTTTTAGTAAATATAATTAGTGATGACTTATAATCACTATTGAGCATTGATTTTCCAGACTCATTGTGTACTTTTAAATAGGCTTATGTTTTCCAGCAAGCAGCATGATGTATGTATGTAGGTGTACTCCAGTTGTAATATCATATTTTTTTTTGTTTTGTGCCAGTATAGAAATAATTATACAGTGCTGTCTTTTGTGATATTTTACTATTGATCAATTGTGTATTCTAATTTTGATGCTTAAATTACTATTCAGATTGGATTTATTAACTTCATGATTATTAGACAGTGCTTATTGAAATTTACTTCATGTCAAGCACAGCAATATATGCTGATGAGTTAAGAAAGTGAGAAAATATGGTCTTTTTTCATGAAAGTGTGGGGAGAAACAGGAATACTAACAAGAGATAAATGAGATAAATCGTAAAATTTCATGCAAAGTCACATGGGAACAATTTTAGAATAGTCCTGTTTCAGAGGTAGGTAACAGATGTTAAGCTTTGTGTGTCTGTGTATACATTTGACACATTAAAGCAACATAAGGGAAATATCTATTTCTTCATCCTTAGTAATAGTAATGTAATAATAATAGTAATAATGAGGATGTGGCATTAAATTAATATGTGACGTATCTTACTCAGAGACTGAATAATAGGAATTCCATGGTATTAGTAGGAAAAAAAACCAGTGATATAAATTTTGCAATTTTGCCTGTCTTATAGGTAAACTGTAACCATGAAATATAAGCAAAACATAAAGTTGTGTATTTAATTATCGTAATCTTTTTTTTTTTTAATAGAAATTGTCAGAAAATTGTAGAATACCTTTCTGCTCATGTTATATCTTTAGAAGAGCTCAGAAATGCTATTGACTCAAAGGAATTATGGAGGGGAAAGATTCAGATATGGGAAAGAAAGGTAAATGGATTTCTTAATTATGAAGCAGGTCTTTCAACTTTATTTTTAACACAGGTACTTTAAATAAGTCTTATTGTAAATGTATTCTATAAGATGTTTTACACAAACACTGTAGAATTTTCTGTGACAATAAAAGTGTTCTGTTATCTGTGATTTGTCCACTAGCCACATTGTTATTGAGCAGTTTATTTATTTATTTTATTTGTAATTAAGCACCTTATAAATGACTAGTCATCTCATGAACTGATTTTTACTTTAGTTCATTTAATTTAGTTTCAGTGAAAGTAGTCATTGTGATTAAGTTTTGGAACCTACAATTCTAGAATATAACACTTTTAAAACAGAATTTAACATTAGTCAAATTCATGTTGTTTACCCAAGTTGCTTTATTTTATTGCATGTGTGATCTATTAGAAACATTGCTTAGAGCAGTACTGTGGTACCGTCTTGGGTAATCTCTGCTTTCTACTAACCAGGTCTCTAATTTTGAACAATTTTCTTTTAATCTTATCAGACCCCATTTCTCAACTACAGAATGAGAATACTAAGTTAGTTGGATTCCTTTGCTCCTAAATTTCTATAAGTTTCCAATTCCATTTTGGTGTCTTATCATGAAACAATATGGTGGTTTTTATAAGTTGTTTCCATTGTAAAATAAGTGTTTCTATTAATTTGTGTATTTTTTAGCTAGGCAAAATTAAAACAAGGAGTTTCTCAGTGCTTGTTCCAGGTGGTATCAGAGCATGAGTAAGCCCTTGTAATTCTCCTAAGATTTTTGGCAATAATCATTAAACTATTTTTCCCTTTGTAATTCATACTTACTTGTGACTTAATAAAAGCTGTAATTAAGATAGTAAGAATTAATGTGCCAGATCTGTCTTACTGATTTGCATCTTGGTTTATTCTAATCTCAGGAAGGTTTAATCTAGAGGTAAACCATCTTAACAGGAAAAAACATACAGCTAAGTAGTAGAGTGGAAACTCTGATTATCTAGGACAATTGCTTTTGTACACATTTTCTAAAACTGCATATTTATATTCACGCAGAAAATGGCAGTTTTTTCTGTGTGATTCTTTTCTTATTAGTAGGAAATTAAATGTCTATAAACCGACAGCATACATTTCCATCTTGAATGTAATCACTTTTTTAGTGGAGAATATCTTTCAGCTAAGAGGCATTATAATGATAAAGGACATGGATTCTAGAGTTATAGTGTCTGCACTATAATTCCAACTTTCTTTTCTGTAAGACAGACATAATAGTTCCAGTTCACAGGTTTTTATAAGATTTACATTAAAGCACAAAATAACCACTGAGTGTTTACTGTCATTTTTGTTGCTGCCACTACTATTATTAGCACCATTACCTTTACTTCTGTAATAATTGATCTTCTTATCAACAACACATATTGAAGGAAAAACTGTGTGTGAGGCACTGTACTAAGTATCCAGTAGTGAGTAAGACTGGCATCTTCTGCCTTTGCATAATTTACAGACTGGTAGGAAGCCAGATATTGAACAAGTGTATGCAAAGGAGATCGTCTGGTCTTGTGGTTGCATAGAATGGGCTTAGTGTACTCTTGCTGGCTAATTAAGGGTCAATGGGAGGTTTGCATGAAAAATTGATGTTTAAGTTAAAACAGAAGGGTGTGTATGAAAGTGGAAACTACCTTTTGAGCTAAGGAATCAAAAATAAATTTATGCATGGATTTCCTCTTAACTTTTCATTGTAATAAGATGTATTAATCTTCATAATATTATTCATGATGCCTATATTTGTGTTTTTTCTCTTGTTTCTTTTCAGTTTGGATTTGAAATTAGTTTTCCTGAGTTTTGTTTAAAGGGAGTAACACCTACAAATTTTAATACATCCAATTTAAATAATTGCTTTCTTGACAAAAAGACAATACCATTAAAGGATAAGAATATTTTGCCAAAGGTAATTGTGTATTTAACATTTTTTTGCTATCATTCATTTGTGAATATTTTTGTTCGCATAATATATGTTTTAATCTTGAATTATTGTTACTAATGTATGTGCTTAAGTTGTGCTCACTTGCATAATTCTTAAAATTCTTACCATTAAGTGCATGAATTAAATGTTGGTGAAACTATGATTGTTATAGATTTTAAAATGTGATGATCCTAACTTTAAATCATTATAGGCCTGAAACTGCCTTTGGTTAAGACTTTGCTACATGAATTAATTTCCCAATATTGTTTATCATTGCTTACTATAAAAAATTTACTATGGTAACCTTTCACAGGAATTTTACATTCTTTGTTAAAGATTAGCATAATAAGAATGATAATTTCAGACTTTCTCTTTGTAGTACAATATTCATGTATGATAATTTGGGGCTAATTGTCTGATTTTGAGGTACTATTTGCAATGATCTTAGGGTACAACTTCCTCAGTAATGCAAACATCCCTCAGTATATGTATGCACATTTTGTGAGTGTGCGTGTGGGCGCGCGCGCCCGCCTGCACACATGCATGTAAAAGAGAGAAAGAAAGAGGAGGGGCTTTAATGGTAAATAAACCCAGTTTTGAAACTTTATCACCTATTAGGTATTGTATATAAACATATTTACGTACGCAAAAATATGTTTATGTATTTCATATTTATGTGTTTTATATATGTATATATTTATGTGGAAAGAGTGAAAGATATGTATCTACACATATATACGACACACATACACAAAATCACATATGGTGAAATCACTCTGCTTTTTATTTTTGGTAGTACTAGGGATCAACCTCAGGGCCTTGCACATGCTAGGCAAGCACTCTCACTGAGCTACATCCTCTGCCTTTAAAATGTAATACTAATTTCTCCAGGATGTAATCTCTTTTCTTTGTCTTTCTTTATCTCCAGCTATTGAAATAACTGTCCTTTTCTAGTCCACTCTAATTTAATTTCAGGCCCTACCCAAAGAAATACTGAAATATTATTTCTGTGAGTGGGGCTTTCCTCTCTTAATTCACACCTATTGCCTTCACTCTTTGTCTAATTTCTACAGTCTTTCCTCCAGAATTTTTTTTTTCTTGCATCTTGGCATACCACTGAACACAAGTTCCCCCCAGAATATCTTTTCTTTCTCCTTTTCATTCCTGCAGATTCTCTCTTCACAGGTAGGTTTTTTTCTTCTTCAATCTTGGATCACCTGTTCTGCTGAAATTACATAACAGTAGTTGAGAACTCTTGTCATTGCTGCAGACTTCTTTCCATACTTATTTTCTCCTATTAAAATTCTTGTCACTTGCTGGGCACGGTGGTGCACGCCTGTAATCCTAGCAGTTCGGGAGGCTGAGGCAGGAGTATTGTGAGATCAAAGCCAGCCTCAGCAAAAAGTGAGGCACTAAGAAACTCAGTGAGACTTTGTCTCTAAATTAAATACAAAATAGGCTGGGGATGTGGCTCAGTGACTGAGTGCCCCTGAGTTTGATCCCTGGTACCTACCCCCAACCGAAAAAAAAAAAAAATTCTCGTTAATTACTAAGGAGTCTCCATGTCTGTCTACTTTGAAATGTAGAATTGAAATGGAAGAAATTCTTGTCTGTTATAGAAGATTACATTTGGGTTGCCAATATTTTTTTTAAAAGTTGCTTTTTAATATCTATTTTGTAAAGTTTTAAACTCAAAATCACTAATTTGTTTACTTTTATTTTCTTCATAGTATTTATAGTATTAGCAATTCGAATTTCTTTTCTAGGTTTTCCATTACTATGGCCCTGCTTTAGAATTTGTTCAGATGGTACAATTATCAGATCTACCCTCCTGCTATGTGTCAGACATTGAATTTGAGTTGTATCCTTTCACTTGTGTGTTCATTTAAGATTACATTTTCTCTGTGTTAGAATGTTCTGGTGTAAACATTTAGTATATGTTTATTTTTATTTCATTGTACTCAGTGTTTTAGTGGTGATGCACAAGTGGGACTCCTCATTGTTGAAGTGCTAGGGAAGGAAAAGGAAATTCTTCTTTGATCACGTCCTGAATCCTGTATTTTCCAATCAGAAATCTTTCTCTCTAGGCAAGCACTTTTGTTTTCATTCAGTATTTATTATTTTCTGTTGGTAGGGTTATAGAAGTAATACAGAAGTCATTGAGCCTTGCTTCTTCAATGCAGTTATACTGTTCTGTGCCTGAATACAGGCCAGATCTGCTCTCTCACACAGAGTAACATTAACTGAAACTCTGTCTTTCCTATACTCTGTCCAAACACCCCACATACATATTGTGTATGTTTGGTTACTTTTGTTGTTATTTTACTTAATGTTTAATACTTCCTAAAAATAACTACCTGCAGGTCATGGTGGTCTATGTCTGTAATCCCAGCAACTCAGGAGTCTGAGACAGGAGCATCACAAGTTCATCACCCTGGGCAACTAAGGTAGACCCTGTATCAAAAAAATAAAAGGCTGGGATTGTAGCTTAGTGATAGAGCATCCTTGGGATCAAACCCCAGTGCCACAAAAACAAAACAAAACAAAATCAAAACCCATTTCTCTTTTTTTAAATTCAGGGTGCATTTCCATGACTTCTGTTTTTCTGCTGATGAAATCTGTAAATGCTGTAAATTATAATACATAGTAGCCACTCATAAACATTGTAAAATTTTATTTTGTTAGCCCATGCCAAAATTTTCATTATTTTCTTTCAGATTCCTTTCTGCAGAAAAGATAACAGAAATGAGGGCATCAGAGAACCTTACCCAGCTGTTTGTCATCTGGCAGTACCAAATAACGTTTTTATTTTTAGTTTTTTATTTTTTGTTGTTGTTTTTGAAGGGTTTTTGTTAGTTTGGTTTTGATGGGGGGTTGTTAAAAGATCAGGCTGGAGAGCCTTTTTCAGATTGATAAAAATCCTAAAAGACCTCCTCTACCATATTTAGGAGTTAAATTCTGTTCTAAAGATGATGAGGAACCATAGAAGGATTATAAACCAGGGGGCAGTTTAATCAGAAATCGACTTTACTATTATTATTATTATTATTATTATTATTATTATTATTATTATTTTGATACCTGGGATCAAACTCAGAGGTTCTTAACCACTAAGCCACATCCCCAGCCCTATTTATTTATTTAATTTTAACACAGGGTTTCACTAAGTTCTTTAGGCCTCACTAAGTTGCCGAGGCTGACCTAGAACTTTGGATCCTCCTCTCTTAGCCTCATAAGTTGTACCACTACACCTGTCTGGAAATAAATTTTAGATCTACTTTTAGTATTTTGGAAAACTGTGGAGCTTGATCTAACAAAGTAACTTTTGCAATGGAGAGCCAGGTTAAAGTATAGAATGTATTAAGAATGTAAAACAGAATATCATGATCTGCTACATGCTTGTAAAGTAAGGAGGCTGGATAAGAATTGGATGATTCCCTATGTTGATATAGATGCCACTGATTGAGATAACAAGGAAAGAGAAGCAAGTTTCATATTGGAAGAGTAACTCAAGATTGGGTAATAGTTTGAATAGTGATGGGTAGTTACACAATGGGTAGTTGTTAAAATTTTTATTCATTTTTACATGATTGTATAGAACGTAGTCAGTACCTCCTTGCCTGGCATTGTGACTGAGGGAGGTACTTTCAGATATAATGTGTTACCAATGTTGCTTTTATCTCTTAGCACCTGTTAGGTCAGAAGCTAGGTAGCATTTGACATATTTGTAGCATGTTTGATCCTTGCTTTTTGCCAGTGGTTTTTAAAATGTTTTCCATTGAAAATCTGGGGACTAAGAGAAAGTTTTCCTGAGTAGTGGTATTGGAAGATAAGTTGAGTGGACAAGGCTCTTGGCCCTCTCCTACTTCAGCCAGAGCAGCTGGCTGTTCTAAATGTTGACTTTCCAGATCTCACACCAAAAAGTTATCGGCACCCAAAAGGTTTGAAAAGCACAATTTAAATTGTTTTTATGGTTCCACCCCCCACATTTAAACATTAGAACGTTTATTTTCTAATAACATGCAATATTTTTTTTTTCATTTTCCTGGCTTTAAGAAAAGTTCTACAACTTGAAAAAGAAAATCCTTAAGTACTGTATTCATGATTCCAGAAAAGGCAGAGGATTCCTAGTTTTGCTACTCATTACTTATTAGGTAGGGAAGAGGGAAGAATGTTACCAATCTGTGGGGAAAAGCAGACGAATTTATATATTCTTGAAATGTTCAAGTTTTCTTCCTGCCATTTTTGACATGATTGATGTATAAACACTAGTTGGCTGATGTATCTTTGTATACACTTAGAAAAATACATATGCTATCACGTATATTCACAAATAAAAATATTAAATAATAATAAAAATTCTAAGAATTTTTAGAAATATACTTAAGAAATGGATATTGTATATAAAAATTATTGATTAGGTACGGAATACTAGCTGTATTCTTACATTTTTATTCACAAATTTTTACAAATTTCTTTTTTTAAATTGATTTTATTTTTAAAATACATGCCAGCAGAATATATAAATTTCTTGTTCTTAGTTTATCGTAAAAATATTCAGAACAAATTTCTGAAAAACAGTCTTTAAAGAAAGGAGTAATTGTTAATTTCTGTAGTAGGAATTTTTAATAAATGAATTTAAACAACTTGGGGTAGAGTTGAAATAATCAAACTTATTTTATAGAGTAGAATTATTTCACAGTTACTATTCCCTCATTTCTTTAACTCTGTGGTACAGAGGATTGACAGGAAATAACATCAAGCAGAATTCCATGTTGCTATTGGAGCAGATTTCTTCTCTGTGTGGCAAGGTATAGTAGAGAATTTTTATGGTGCTTGGTTTTTATACTTAACATTTTAGGATGTGTAATAAAAATTAATATAGCTTGTTAATCTATTTTTGCTTGATAACTTTTTTTTAATGTAAGAACATAATTTTGTCCCTAATTCATGTTAAAAAAAATTTGGACTTTTCACAGTAATATACTTTGCAGACCAAGTGATATTTTGATTTTAGTAGAAATTTCAGAAATAAACTTCATAACTGGCAATTGCTTTAAAATTTCAAAATTTTAGAATGCATTATTGTTAACCTACTCTTTAAGGCAACATCTCATTTCAATTCTGTGGAAGACATTCACATTTACTATTTTCATGGTAGGGCAGGGGTGGAAGTGAGGAAAAGTTTTAAAACTTCACTGAATTATTATTTGTAAATTTCAGTTTTCCCTTAATTCCAATGATATGAATTAGATTTTAGCAATTTTAATATAGATATGTGTGCATCTCTTTCTCTGCACACACACACAGGCACACACACAGACTCACATATATATAATGATGTGCTGGAGTTGGTATATTTTTAACCTTTTTAAAATTAACTACTTTAATATAAATATGTGTATATTTCTATGTATATATATATAATGATATACTAGAGTTGGTATATTTTTAATGTTTTTAAAACTATAATATAAAGAATTCTAAGTGGAATCATGTATCTAAAGTGAAAGTACAATTTTTAAGAAGAAAAAAAATGTTTGGATTTGTTTCTGGTTATTTATCCAACTATTATGTTTCTGTGAAAATGATTTTTAATGCACAAGCTATTGACCATTATATGCATAACATTTTCTTATCATTTTAACAACAAATAGACTATAGCAAACACTCCTGAAGGGAGAAACTGATTATTGTAATTATAACATTTTTCCCCATGGTACTATAATCAAATCTTGGTTATAATTGCCTTAGAAAATTGATACAGTAAAAAAAATATATGATTTTATATTTAAGATGCTTGACTAGAAATACTGGGGAATCATAGGGGCCAAAGTATGTTGTTATAGTGTGTGCATGTATGAATATGTAACAACAAATCCTACCACCATGTACAACTATAATGCACCAATAAAAAAATATGGGAAAAAAGATGCTTGACTATATGATAACTTAATTTTTTACTTCCAGCCTCATTTTCCTATAAATTTAATAATGTTTTGAATAATGTATCAAAGTATTTATTTGATGAACTGGTCTTTGCATGAATATTTCAAGTAAAAGTCAGAAACATATCTATAATTTGTTTAATACACATATAAAATAATCCTGCAATAGTTATTGGAGATAGGCAACACTATTTTTAGGTGCAAGCTAAACTATTATTATTTATTATCAAATTTTCAGTTGTTTTGTTTTAAATTTCTTATATTAGATTGTCATTTTTATTGCTTTCTTGAACTATAGTTATGAAATGTTAGGACATACTTTATCAGTACATAGGACCTTATAAATCGGTTCTCACTTTAATGAAACAAAAGTGATAATATTTGGAAGCATATTATGTACTTTAGATAACAGATCTCTAAATTTTAAGCACTTTATTTTTCTTTAACATTGAGTCATAATTTGCATTTACATTTTTGAAAAAAAATAGATGTTTTTCTTTTTTTTTACACTGCCTATTGTGTGCCAGTTATTTGTTAGGTATTGGAGACAATTAGATAGCTTGGGAAGCTTTCATGTTGCTTAAGTTCTAATGGTTTATGTGATAACTCAGTAAATGTCTGTCTGAGCTTATTTATCTTTCCATCTGATTAGCCCCAAAATATAAATGAAAGCTTCTTGGAGTAAATTGCATTTTCCTAGTTTAGGAAAAGGGAAGATTAGGATTATTTAGAATGTGACATATACTAATCTTATGGCCAGGGAATATGTTTTTCATAGAGAGGAATTTCCAAAGCTGTAAGTGTGATTTCTGTAGTGACTGCTTGTTAGGGAGAACCTCCTGAAATGATGGAATTACAGTTTTGAAATGTTGCTTGACCTTTAAATTCTGGAGATAAAATGAGCCCCTAAAAGGATCACACTTAGATCTCTTAGAGCTATTTAATGATAAGTATATGGGTGAGAACAAGCTGTCAGAGACCAAGTTCATTATGAATGAAGTATAGACAGCTGACATATTTATTTGGTAGGGAATTAAATCTTGTGAGATTTAGATGTTTATTTTTATTTTTGTAGCAAATGTTTAAAAAAAATTAGGCCATCTCAAAGGAGTGACCAATTCTTTATTTGCTGGGTCATGACACGTTTATATGGAGCTATGAGTTACTAATTGAACTGCATTTAGCATCCCTAAGATGTTGAGAAAGCTGTAGCTGTGCCTGATATGGCATATTCACATTACAGCCTCCCTGACCTTTTGGACCATACAGTCTTGTCATATATTCTGGGCTATGAAGTCTTATTTATGCAAGAAAGAATTAGGATTTAATGTTTGGGAAATTAGATGTATCTTTTATATTTGATTATTTTCTGTGTCTAAATATTTTAATCTTAATTACTAACACTTGACTATGTAAGTTGTATTTGATGTAAAAAGATGGCTAGTTACCTTAGTAAAGACAAAAAGCATATTTATTTTTACCTTTCTATTGTGTTCCTAAAATATTTATTTTTATTCCTGTTAAATAAGAATGCATAAGTAAAAATAGTAAATAGCAACATAATTAGCACATTAAAGTATTAATTGAGCCAGGCATAGTAGTACCACCGCCTGTAATCCCTGCAATTTACTGAGGAGTCTGAGGCAGGAGGGTCAAAAGTTCAAGGCTAGCCTTGACGAATTAGTGAGACCCTGTTTCAAAATTAAAAAAAAAAAAGAGGCTGGGGATCTAGCTCAGTGGTAGAGCATCCCTGGTTTCAAGTCTCAACATTGCAAAAACAAAACAACCCCCCTGCCCAATCTAAACATATATACCTTTTTAAACATTTATCATTTCTTTATGGCATAATGTTCAAAATTAGTTTTTTGAAGTGTACTTTAGTTACATATGTAGTCACCCTAATATGTAATAGTTCCATTCTTAATATGTAGTTTAAAGATGAGAAAAATGATCTGAAGAAGAGTATACCTTGCCTAGATGTTTGTATTGTTTGAAAAATTGCTTTTAAGAATCATTATTTATATAAATAGATTTTAATGTACTTTGATTTTGTCCCTGCCGTGAATATTTGCACATTTTAAAGAAAAATTACAAATGTAGGATTATGAAAATAGATAACAGTAAGTTCATATGGCATTAAAAAAAAAAACCCAAATCAAATTGTCACATATCTTGTATAACCAATCCATCCATTTAGATCAATTAGGTGTAATTTTGCATTTTTGACTAATACCTTGCCTAAATTTTTCCAAAATTGTCTTTTCTTTTTTTAAAATAGTGTTCTTTACTGGGATGTGCTGATTGATGTAGCTGCGTTTCTAAAATAGCTTTTAGAATTGTAATTTGTTTTATTTAGTCCTTTATCAAGCAATTTACCCAAGTTATTATGATTTTTTTTTTTTTTTAGCAAATACTTAAAAAGCATCTGTATGCCCAACCCTGGGAATACAACAATGAATAGATTGACTTTGCTCAGAAATATGTCTGAGACTGCTGTATGTTTTCTAGGATACAATTCATTATCTTCTCTGTGGTTTTTACCTATTAGCATAAAATCTCTGATTTCTGGGAACAAAAGTTGCTGTATTGCTTTTAGACGTATTGTAATTTTGAAGCCAGAACAACAATCCATCCAAAGTTCTAAAATTATGGTTGGATAAGTAAGACATATTTTCTAGTGCTAGAACTCTCAGTCTCTCATTATTTTGCAGATACACAAAGAAATTGTACCCACATCTGAATATAAAATAAACAGTATGAATAGCAAGGTTTTCAGAGATGTATACCTAAGTGGAAAAGGGAGGACCAAGGCTTTGAATGCCTTTCCATGTTTTAATTTGTTTGCTTGCTTTCTTTCTTTTTAGACAGTGGGACATTATTTTTTAATTTTTTGCAGTGAAGTTGTTGATAGAGAAATACATGTTAAATAGGTGAAATATGAGGAGAAAGTTGTTATATGGCACTTTTTGAAGAGTGGATTCCAGTCTGCAATCAATAAATATATGTTCTGCTTTTCCAGGTTGGTGCTCTTTTTGTATTGCCATGCACAATTAGTAACATACTTATTCCACCTCCCAACCAACTTAGTTCAAGAAAATGGAAAGAATATATTGCTAAAAAGCCTAAGACAATCAGTGGTAAGTAGTAAATCTTTATTATTTTTACCATACAACACAGATAGTGTATTTATCAAATTTGAAATGAAGTTAATATTTCTTTATTGGAATATAATATTTAATTATTTTTAACCATTTTCATTAAAAATATATCAGTGATCAAAAGGCAGAAATTTTGTTTAATTAGATAGCTAATTATGTTGGTTTCTTAGAGACATTTCAGGAACCAAATAAATAAAATACAGTAGCTCACTTATATGGTGCATTAAAAAGGTGAACCTGTGGTGTCAATTTTCTGAAGAAATTAGAACTTACTTATTTAATGGTTTAACCATCTGCTGTGCAGTGTTCTAGGTGCTTTAAAAATTAAATGATTCACTTCTAACTTTATAAGAGAAATAATTCATTTGAACATAATAGAATATTAGAAAGGCAACAGAGTATAATATGGCCCAGGTTTAAGTCCTTGGAGAAATTACAGAACTGTTAACTCACAAAGTCAGGATTTATATAAAGATTTTTGTCAATTAACAATTCTTTAACTTTTCCAAGTTTCAATTTCCTCATCTGTAAAGTGGGGATAAAAACACATCCATACCATTATTGTAAAAATTAAATTAATCATTTAAGTCTAAATCATTTAATTCTAATCATTTAATTAGGAATGGTTGTTAAAGAAAGAAAAGACACATAAACACAACATAGCTATAGAAGAGACCCAAGTATAGGTAGGGTCTTTGGAAATAACTACATTTAGATGAAAGTGGAGAAAAAGTTAGGAGATGATTTAATAAAGATGTTGGAAATCTCTAGTAAATTATAATCGTTAACATTAGTATCATAATACCATTTATTGCATTATATAAGGTATTGAAAGAAGTATGAGAAATAAAAAGAGAGTCAGACTGTATCTTGAGTGGACCTTTGTGAAATTTGTAGTCAAGTGAGGAATGTATTTTAAAAAGCAATCATAAGGCTGTTTAGCCAGTGGTGTGAGGTAAAGAGAAGGTCACTTCCAGAGTGAGTGACCTGGCATATCCTTAGTAGCTCCAGGGAGGCTTCCAGGAGGAAAAACCACTACTACACCACAGTGCAGTTTAAACCTTCCCACCTACTCACATGGAAAATCGTATATCTGGGGATTTTAGAAGATGCTGAAACAAAATCAGAAATAAATTTCCTAAGTGCCAATTATAGTTAATTTTCTTAGGCTTCATGAAATTATGGGATAATATCCATTTCTCAGCATCGCATATACAGAAGCTTGATACTATGAATTGAATGTTAACATCTAAATAAATTGAGTATATCCTTGATAACCCATCTCTTATTTTTTTCTTGAAACTTTCTACAACTTCAAATAGCTACTTTTTTTGAGGTTTTAATTTTAAGACAATTTATTGAAGCCAAGTGTGTTGACTGTAGTTTCAGTGACTTAGGAGGCTAAGGCAGGAGGATCATAAGTGCAAGGTCCTAAGCAACTTAGTGAGACCCTGTCTCAAAATAAAAAAATAAAAAGGGCTGATGTGACTCAGTGATAAAGCACCCCTGGGTCAAATCTCCAATACTAAAACAAAACAAAAAAAGATAATTTATTGATTTAGAATTTACTCAGGTTTTTTTTTTTTTTTTTTTTTTGCATGTTTTTTATTGAACTTGAAAAAAATATCATGTGGTTGGGTTTCTTTTTTTTTAAAATTATTGCTTCTTGAAATCTACAGATTAATAGTGGTAACTTCTGAATAATAATCAGACATAGATCACATGATATTCTTTGAAGCCAAGTTGTTGATTACTGATTAGGCTGGATCATTAAGGGTTGATTAAACTGACACTTTACTGTATTTTTTTTTTTTAAATCATAGAAGTAGCAACAAAATCAAATTTGATAGCTGATTAAGTTCTGTTCTACCTGTAACCCTTTCTGAAGGGGAAATTTATTACTTATCACATTAATAGAACTCCTTTTGTAAAAAGAGAGAAACTATGTTTTAGTATGAAAGTTTCAATAACTCTTGCATCCAGAAAATTTTAAATCCTTTCCCTTATCCCACTAATAGTAGCTGTCACTATCCCAAATAATATATCAAATCTCAGATCATTCCCCTAAATCGTAGCTGTTTTTCCATTACCTACAGAATTATGCCCAACTATACTGTATTCTTACAATATATATTGCGGAGTCACCTAACCAAACCCTGTACTCTTTCCTAAAACTATTTTCTGATTTTATTGCTTTGTGCTTTTGCTACTGATTCTTTCATTCATTGACTGATTCATTCAATATGTCATTCATACCTTCCATTAATTAATTGAATATGAATCAGATATTGTATATCACTTATGATACTGTAATCTGGGGTTGCTGCTCAAGGAGGTAGAACTTTATATTCTTGCCATGGAACTTATAACACAGAAAACAGGTATTGCAAAGAAATTATAAGTCTTATTGCAATATTGTATTTGGTAGTAACTGACTAGGAACAATCACTAAAGCATATCGCATGGAAAAAAGAAGGTGTATAATGGTGTTGCTACCGTTTGTGGTTAAAAAAAAACCTGTATGTGTAATGAGGTTTAATGTGTAATGTTAACACATTTTTATATGCATTAAATATTCATGTTTTCAGTAGATATTTTTACTGAGCACCTACACTATACTAGGCACTATTTTATATGCTAGACCCAGCAGTAAAAGAACAAAATCCTTTCATTCATGGAGCTTATAGTGGAGGTTCCAGTTTTGCTTCTTTCCCCAGATAGCCATATAGCTAGGTCTCTCAATTTTTTCAGGTCTTTAATCCATAGTCATTTTCTCATTCAGGAACCATTTTGCTATGGCATCTAAAATTGCAAATTAACTCTTCTTGTATTATACCCAGCTTTGTTATTTCTCCTCTGTAATTACTGCTATCTAGTATACCAAATATGTGTCTGCCTTACAGAAATATTTGTTTAAAAATAAGTGAACTATACAATATATTTTCAGGTAATAACTGCTGTTGCAATAAATAGGGAAAGGCTTTGAATGGAGTCCATCTATGCAGTGTGAGCCAAATTTCATGCCTTGGTTTTTATTAGTTCATTAGGTTTTATCCCTTATAAAATATATACTAATGTATTAATTTGGGCTATGTGATATTGCTGTTTTTAATATATCAGAATCACTAAATATCAGCAACTTCTTATGGTTTAAAATAAACAGTGATCAATTTGAAGTATGTTTAAATTACAATAGCAGAAGAGTGCTTTTTAAAAGTGATATTTAGTGATATATTCAGAAATTGTTATATATGAACATTTTTTTTTCATATATTTTTTGACCATTTGTATTTCTTCTTAGGTGAAGTGCTTGTTCAGTTCCTTTGCCCATTTATTGATCGGATTATTTGTTTTGTGGTGTTAAGTTTTTTGAGTTCTTTATGTATCCTGAAGATTAATGCTGTATCTAGTGTACAGGTGGTAAAGATTTTCTCCCATTCTGTAGGCTCTCCAAGTTCTTGATTGTTTCCTTTGCTGTGAAGAAGCTTTTTAGTTTGATATCATCCCATTTATTGATTCTTGATTTTGCTTCTTGTGCTTTAGGAATCTTATTGAGGAAATCAGTTCCTAAGCTGATAGGATCGAGAGTTGGGCTTACTTTTTCTTCTAGTAAATGCAGGGTCTCTGGTCTAATGCCTAGTTTCTTGATTCATTTTGAGTTGAGTTTTGTGCAGGGTGAGAGAAAGGAGTTCAAATTCTTTCTACTACATTTGGAATTTCAGTTTTCCCAGCACAGTTTGTTGAAGGGGCTATCTTTTCTCTAATGTATGTTTATGGTGCCTTTGTCTAGTATAAAATAACTGTATTTATGGGGGTATGTCTCTGTGTCTTTCATTCTGTTCCATTCATGACTGTGTAGGTACCAACACCATGCTGTTTTTGTTACTGTAGCTCTGTAGTGTAATTAAGGCCTGTATTGTGGTGTCTCCTGCTTCACATTTTTTTTTTTTTTTTTTGCTGAGGACTGCTCTGGCAATTCTAGGCCTCTTATTTTTTCAAATGAATTTCATGACTGCTTTTTCTATTTCTAAGAAGAACCTCATTGGAATTTTAGGAGGAATTTGTATTAAATCTGTATGTTCAACATCTCTAGCAGTTAGACAAATGCAAATTAAAACTACACTGAGATTCCATCTCACTCTAGTCAGAATGGCAATTGTAAAGAATACAAGTAACAATAAATGTTGGCAAGGATGTGGGAAAAAGGTGTACACTCATACATTGCTGGTGGTACTGTAAATTGGTGCAACCATTATGGAAAGCAGTATGGAGACTCCTTAGAAAACTTTCAATGGGACCACGATTTGACCCAATTATCCCACTCTTTGGTTGATACATAGTACAGTGACAGTGCTACATCAGTGATGTGCTTATAGCAGGTCAGTTTACAATAGCTAAGCTATGGAACCAACCTAGATGCCCTTCAGTAGATGAATGGATAAAGAAAATGTGGTACATATACACAGTGGAATATTATTCAGCCATAAAGAAGAATGAAATTATGGCATTTGCTGGTAAATATCTAGAACTGGAGACCATCATGCTAAGTGAAATAAGCCAGTCCCTTAAAACCAAAGGCTGAATGTTCTCTCTGATATGTGGATGTTAACCCACAACAAGGGAGGGTAGGGAGGGGAAAAATAGAAATTCATTGGATTAGACAAAGGGAAATGAAGGGAAGGGAAGGTAGAGGAGAATAGAAGACAATAGAATTAATCAGACATAACTTTCCCATCCTTATATATGAACATGACTAGGATAACTCCACATCGTGTAAAACCACAGGATAGGATCCTAATTAGAAGTTATATTCTATATACGTACAGCATGCCAAAATACAGTCTACTGTCATGTATATCTTAAAAGAACAAATAATAAAAAATAAATTGTTACATGAGAAATATACTAAAGAAATGTGAACTAATGAAATTATCTAACTTATCTAAAGAAAGACTTCTTTAATGATATATAATGAAATA